CAGTAAATTTTATCATCGAGAAAGAAAGAAATGATAGAATGTCATTCTTAGACGTGCTTATGACCAGGAGAGAAGACGGTAGAATTAAAAGGAAAATATACAGATTATGCGTCAGACTGTGAGTCGGTGGCACAGCGTTTAGGACGCTCGCCGACCATCCACATGGTCCGGGGTTCGATCCCTGACCGACGCACTCCTTTACCTCACTAAGCAAGAAAGAAAAGCTGGTAAAGAGGAAAGGTTAGACATGAGGCTAGCAACCCCATCCTGTAAAAATAAACGCTGCTACAGAAACTTCAAGCCCTTAGCTTGAAGCCCTGTGTTCCACTGGGAACGTGAAGGAATAAAAAATGCGTCAGACTGTGAGTTGAGAGTGGGAAGACAAGAATAGTCTGCACTGACCGATGAGAAGACTCTAGAAGATCTGGATTTCTTATGTGAATGACTTATGTTTAATATCACACAAACTCGAGGACTTCAAAGCGAAACCCAACAAACTGGCTGAAGAAGCTGCCAGCGAAGACAGGACTGCAGGTGAACATAGAAGAGACGGAGGAGATGAAGATAACTGACCAACCAACAGCAACAACAACAAAAACCAGCACCGATCACCATCAAATAGAGAGATTTACCAGAGGTTAACTCCTTCACTTATGCAGGAAGCATCGTTTCAACTACAGGCGCAACGGATGAAGATGTCAAAGTCACACAGAATCGGAAAGGCAAGATACGCCTTCACCACTCTGAAATCAGTTTGGAAATCCTATACACTCAGCACAAAGAACAAGATTTGGATTTTCAGCACAAATGTGAAGTCAGTCAGTCAGTTACTTTATACAGATCAGAAACTTGGCGAGTGCGTCACGAAAAGCATTTCCAACAGTTTGTAGGCTTTCATCAAAAGCCGCCTTCGCCAGCTCCATACTGAAGAATTAGCGACAAGAAACTCTGGCTGGGGACAAACCAACCAAGAGCCAATTGCTTAACACGTATGTAGGAGAAAATTGAGATGGACTGGGCATAGGTTGAGGAGGCCGTCGAATGAAATCGCGCATTAGGCTCTCGGGTGGAGTCGGAATAGGAAGAGACGAGTGGGTCATTGGTGCGAGGGTGACATGGAGGAGATCGTGAGAGTGGAAGATAAGAGATTATGGACAATGGTGGAGGCAGCTGAAAAGGACGACAGAGAATAGGACAAAGTGGAGATGTATTCTTGAAGCCCTATGTTCCACTTGGAACCCAAGGGAATAATAATCATAATATAGAAAGCTTACATTAACCGACCAGTATCCTTATTTTTCGAGTTTGTACCTTTGAAGTATAAGCGCAGTTTAATAAGGTGTTTCATTCACAGAACCAGAATAATCTCTACTAACGACTGTCTTGATGAAGATATGAATTTATCCACAAGGCAAGTTGGTGTGCCAGCAAATCCATAGAAAGCACACTGTCTCTTCACAGTCATCCCAATTTCACGTTCGGCAGCTAGTTAAATTGGGTGTACACAGCTAGGCATGTTTATCATTGTATTTGTAAACATCATCCTACATGATAGTTAAGCAAGAGATGAGCAACGTTCATTCATAGCTCTGTTTTAGCTTATCTTGTAGATACTGAACATAAAGTCAGGGTGTTAACAGAGGCATTTAAAGTTATCTACCGTATTGCGATTAATCTTAATTTTGTCTTATGAGTTCACCTTCTACAGAAAATCGGCTGAAGCCACAAGAATTCGCATGAAAAAGCCAAATCTGTACAGACTTTTTCCCCGTCCTGACCATAACTACTTCATTTCAACCATCTGAAAATTTCCCCTTCTCTCTAAGATATTTTACAAGTCATCATTACTTTAACTATCTCTAAATTTCTCATAAATGTCCATAATTTTATCCAATATTAAATTTAGTATGGCGCTTTCAGTGGTCGGTAGTCCAGTGGTTAGGACTCTCGCCAACCACGCACATGGTCCGGGGTTCAATCTCCAGCCGACACACACCTGATATCAATCGATCGGCCTGCAAAATTTGGGCTACCGATATCCACACTTGCACCAAAATACGATGTGGAATCAAGCTATAATCAAAATTAATTTTTAAAAATCGTAACAACAGAAGGCTAGACACGGAAGCCAAGGTGTATCTTCCATTGATCAAAAGGTTGTTTTTATATCTACAGTTTATATTCTTTAACCAGTCACTGAGCGTGTGATTTCGGCTTACCTCAAACGACATGAAACAGAATGTTCAAATATACATTGTATTTTGTTGCCAATGCATTATCGAACTGCGCGAAAGTATTCTGTCTCTAACATCTAACAGACTGTTGAAGTAGATATTTCGTTTTCTATTATTAATGCCGAATTGAACTGTGGGAATATGTGAGAATAACATTCCGTCGGCACACATTGTCTGTATCACACTACCACAATATTACCACCTACCTATGCATTCTGAGCTGTAATTCTATTGATGTTAACTACTCGTCAATAACAATCACTGTATGCGACTTATGTGAGTATATAGACTCAAGCATATCAAAGAACTAAACCTGAGATGCACACTGAATGTTCAGTTTTCATTCAATGGTCAAATACACACCAAGAAAAAGATGGAGTAGCAATGGGTTCTCCACTCGGCCCATTGCTCACCGATTGCTTCAAAAATCCTCCTACTAACAATCAAACGATTCGAAGTCTACAAGTGGTAAATAGATGACATCTTGGCAAAGTTCAACGATAGCGTCCTTCAGCCGACCATTCATAAAATGAGGAGTTTTTGTACAAAAAATAACGTGTATTTACAAGAAAATGCATGAAAACACATCAGACAAGGTATCTTCCTCTCACATGACTTAAAAATACGTCCTAGTTATAATGTATCAGTTACTAAGTAAGACTAGTTTCTGTACATGTATTCACCGAGCTGACTAAAGATAAGCTGTTTTTGTGGATTGTTTGTTTTTACTATCCAGTTGCGTAGACTTCCCGAAAAGCCCTCGGTTGAATTACTATGGTTTCCAGTAAGCGGATCAGCGACTGCTTACTGGGAAATTGTGAGTAATAAAACAAATTAAAATAAATGTCATCAACTCTAAATCTATTCATAATGGTAACCCTAACCTTAATCCTGACCCTAACCCTAAACTTAACACTAATGCTAACCATAACCCTAAACCTAATTACAACCCTTATCCTAACCATTAATCTAACCCTAATCCTAATACTTACCTTAACCCTAATCTTAACCCTAGCGAGCTGTTAACACATTGTCCAAACAGTGCTTAAAAAAGTGATCTGGGTGAAGTTTCCTCTTTAGTTGGTGAAAAGCGTCGATATTTCAGATATGATAATGACAGGTGCCGTTAACCAAAGACTGGCATGCATTCAAGGTCATTGGAGCGTTCGCACTCTTGGGACGCTATTGTTGAACTTTGCCGACGTCTTTATCATCACTGATGAAAATACTAACCTAAAAGAAATCCTGCAAACCTCAATAACGCTCATCAGTAGGTCGAGTTCAAAATTGAAGCGCAGCAGGTGAATTATCCTGCCTGAATGTTAAGCTTACAAGAGGATAACATAGAAGCTTACAAAAGTCAATCTATCACAAACCAAATTGGAATGAACAGGTGTTAAACTATGACAGTTTGTCCCAAATGAGAGGAAAAAGAATTCTCATGGCCTTTCTTTTGATACATTGAATGAGAATTTAATTGGTGGATGGTGACTAGCAGTGGAATCCAGGATACGCATTTCGTCCTATTTGGGACTCGTCAGATGGATGTACCTGCATTTCACAGTGAGTCATGATGTTCCAGCCTAGGCTCGAACCCAGTGCCTATAGTATCAAACGCCAAAGCGTTATCCACTAGACCACTTTGGCCTCGAGAGCCACCTCTTGTGCAACGGGTCATGTCAACCTGAGACCGAGCACTTCGGCCAATCAATCGACGGGAAAATCTAAAATTCAATTACATTGAATAAGAAGTTGGAATCCTTCTGAAAAACTCCAATGAAAATGGATATCCTACCTCCTTCACCGATAAACATCTAAACCTGAATTTGCCGAAGAAACTCCTAATTTTAAATTCGACATTCAAGTGAGGTCCTCAGAAGGCGCCTGTCGAGAGCAATTCGAAGGACATTATTTGCTGTATCTCTACATCTCACCTTCTCAACACACATGCTCTTATTCACCAAAAAATAAAGGACAAGATCCCGCTTTTCACAACTTCATTGTGCATATAATGTCTCACTTGCTACTGTGGAGCCAAGTACATACACAGGCCTGACCAGCATGACATTGTCCAGACACGCCCATGAACATATACCATCATGGTGGTCAAAAGCAGAACGTAGCACAGTCAACAGTTCAATTGCGGAGCATACTATAAAACTTCTGGTCACGCAGCATCGGCACAGACTACTTTCAAAGTTATAAACGAAGTAAGACCAATTCGTTCGGGAAGGATTTCGTCCAAATCTTCTTCATGCGACCGAAGCCTTAGCAATCCTTAAGGATAAATCCGAACTTTGTGTTCTATTTGCTTACTCATGTGTTCTTAATCCCTGTGTGTATAGATAACTGTCGAGCCTGAAGAAATTATCGTAAAGGCTATCCTTTGCTCATTATGTCATTGTTTTCTACAAGTTTAAATGGGGGGATCTTTTGATATATTCTTTGATTGCCCAAACGTTTTGTCTCACGTCCAACCCTCTCTCCTTTACTCGCTCACTATCGGCTGGTTAACTACTACAGGAGGGTTTTCAGGAATACATCAGTCGGGACTCGAACCTTTTGTCACCTGTGTGGACAGTGAGCATTCTACCGATGAACCACCACCGATGCATCATATCCCTTATTTTAGAAAATAAACAAAATAAACATGATTGATAAAATCAAGTGGAAATTTTACCTCCACACAAGATCAGCACACACTTTTTCTTGAATAGATTCTTTTGAATTTCTGTCAGTGCAGTTGCTCCAGTCGGATCAATATGAGTTATTCCAGATATATCCAAGAGTAGAAAGCGTAACGATTTCTCTTCATCTAAGTCATCATCCCCTTTAGTTTTCTTTCCAATAGAATCGGTGAAAGCAAACTTTGAAACGCGATGTGAATAGCTGTCGTGCCCTTTATCGCATAACTAGTTTTTATTTTAAAGTAAAATGGAAAGAAAAAATATGGTGAATTTAGGTTTGAGCCATTTAGAATATGGAAAAAATGGGCCAAGTTAAACTTTAACCACCACTAACTAACTACCAATGGAGTGCGACCGCACCAGTGACCTTGAAACGCTAACTCAGCAAGTTAGTGACATCATCATTAATAAAATATGCTCATCGAAGGAAGTGTTATGCTATTAAATGGGATATCTGGCAAGTTTCAGCTTAGGTTTGGGAAAGATTAAGTTACGCTTTAAGCCATGGACAAGTTAGGGTTAGGTTAACTTAATAAAGGCGACATTAGGGTTGGTTCGAGTTAGATTACAGTTAGTTTAGGGATATTTTCACGTTAGGGTTAGGTTCAGGAAAGATTAGGGTTATTGTTAGGGTTAGAAGATCTAAATAATTACATGCACAGAATGTGGTTAAATTACTCTGTTAATATAAGAATAGAACTTGTGCACTGTGGTTGAGTATAATTCCATTGTGGGTAAAATTTATTTTGATAAAGTCTCAGTGTTATACAGTCATTTTTACTGATGACGTTTCGAGCACAGTTTATTCCTCAGTAAATATTACTGTATTACACTATGAGATTTTATCAAAATAAATTTTACCCACAATGGAATTATACTCTCTTGATACTCCGACCTAAAAGTGAGAGCTATTTTTACCACATGTGAGAGGACGGTATCCTCTGTAACACTTTCCTACAGATTTTATGCATTTCTTTCATAAATATATGTATTCCATACACAAAGCCGCCTCCTTCACGTGATGGTGCGTTCGAGGTCATTTGCTGATTGGTAGTTAGTGGTGCTTAAAGTTTAACTTTGCCGGAAAATGTATTATTATTATTCAAACATTATACCAAAAATCAATAAGCAAATCGGCAACAAATCAGATCTAATCATGCCTCACTAGATCCAGCAGTATTGACCTATCACGCCACAGGGGATTGAACTGAGGACGTCCAGTTTGCGATGACAGCCCGTTCACTATTCAGCTACCGGATCAGAATTTAATAACGCGTAAATTCAAACTTCTCTCAGTTCTCAATAAACCGCTACCGCCAACCACGGTTATCGTTGTGCGTCCACTTCATTCTGACATAAGGTGCCGCACCGGTCATAAGGAATCGTCAGGACTTCACGACATACATCCAGTATCTACTAATGAGCCGGAAATCACTCTTTAAATTAGGGATTTAGTAGGCATTTGAGTAGTTTTAAGAATGCAACATTCAGTGAAGAGACTCTTTTCAACCAATTCATTATCAAGCTACACAATCGTACATATGGATGGTTGTATTTTAACAAATTATATTCCGTGTGGAAATTTAAACAAATCTGTGAATACATAAAGTAATAATGTGAGTATGAAATGCATTTGAAATGTTTGTGATGATAATCACAGTTGAATGTCAAGTGTCGACTGGCAAAGCAAATCATGTCATGCATACAGAATAGTTCATGGGATGTGTGGATGTTGGAATGGGGTGTAAAATTATGGGATTGGTAGGCGAATAAAATACAATCGTTTCATAACATGCTGTGTAATTTGATAAGACAGAATTTAACACTTCAAAAATCACTTCGATTTACCTGTGATAAGGCTGTAATACTTGATGATATCTTGTTTGCATTCAACAACTGCTTTCATTCTTTGCTATTCACCATAGAAAAAAATCTGAACTAAGCATTCCTTTTCTTGATGTGTGCCTCGTTAGACGTAATGAAGGATCTATCAAAAGATCGATCCAACAGAGAGGTGCATGGAATAGACAGATAACTCATTTTTATAGGAGGGTGTCTATCTCCAGGATGAAGAACTTAATTCACTCGCTCTGCTTTACGATAAAAACAATTTGTACTTCTGGCTGCACTGACTCAGAACTTTCCTTCCTAAAAGCCACGCACGCAGAAAACGTTTACCCGAACCGATCTACTGATAAAATCTCGGAAGATAAGCAGTCCAAACTGATCGCTGACTTATCTCAAAGAAAATCATCTTCATAAGTTTGGAATTCAGTCGTGATTAAGCTTCAGATATGCTCAAAAGTCGTCTCTCTAAATCACTCAGTAAGACGTGCTTTGCTGCAAAACTACAAATGGCCTTCACCAGCCGTAAGTTGTTCTCAATCTCGATAAAAGATAAGCTTCCTCGACTGACCACCTTCATGTACATCCGTCAGTTGACCTGTTCTTGTGGAGCAAGATACATTGGCCGTAGCTAGAGAACGCTTTCCACACGGATACGAGAACATATTGGAACAGCAAGGGAGAAAGGAAGGGTGTGCACAGCTCTATCCTAGAACACTTGATCGACTCCTGTCACTCTACCAATTCTGACCACGATTTTAGGATTGTCTATCTAACCCATGCTAACTCGCCGGTTGAGTTTTCTTCGTTGTAAATTGCTAAAGACAGTTTGTCTTTTAGGAAGGAAAGTTCTGAGTCAGTGCAGCCAGAACTACAAATTTTTTTTATCTCAAAGCAGAGCGAGTGAATTAAGTCCTCCTTCCTGGAGATAGACACCCTCCTATAAAAATGAGTTATCTGTCTATTCCATGCACCTCTCCGTTGGATCGATATTTTGATAGCTCCTTCATTACGTCTAACGAGGCACACATCAAGAAAAGGAATGCTTAGTTCAGATTTTTTTCTATGGTGGATAGCAAAGAATGAAAGCAGTTGTTGAATGCAAACAAGATATCATCAAGCGATACAGCCTTATCACAGATAAATCGAAGTGATTTTTGAAGTGTTAAATTCTGTCTTATCAAATTACACAGCATGTTATGAAACGATTGTATTTTATTCGCCTACCAATCCCATAATTTTACACCCCATTCCAACATCCACACATCCCATGAACTATTCTGTATGCATGACATGATTTGCTTTGCCAGTCGACACTTGACATTCAACTGTGATTATCGTCACAGACATTGTAATTGCATTTCATACTCACATTATTATTTTATGCACTCACAGCTTTGTTTAAATTTCCACACGGAATATAATTTCTTAAAATGCAACCATCTGAATGTACGATTGTACAGCTTGATAATTAATTGATTACAGGATTTCATCATGATCTGACATTAGTTAGAGAACCATTGGAAAACCTGGGAGTAATGTACAGCTGTTTCGTCCTGGTTTGGGACTCTTCAGCAATGTCTAATGTTTCTCTAACTAATGTCAGCTCATGATGAAATCCTGTAACCAAACAAATCCCCACAAACCAACACTTGAATATCAATGAGATGCTCACTAGTGACTTGTCCTATTCAGGTAGGTAATTACGTGGGGTTCTAGCGAGAAGTCGTGACCAGTAGGGTGCAGCAGGTCGGGGATGAGGACAAATACTCGCCGAAGACATTGGCTGGGGTTCGCGCTATGTCGTGAATTGGCAGAAGTTAGAATTCATGGGCCATTGGATCGGGTCACAGTGGCTTAATGGCTCTAACTGATGTCAGCTTATGGTGAAATCCTTCAGGCAATAATGAGAAGCAATAATTTGCGCTCGAAATGTCGTCAGAAGCAAGTAAATATCATCTTATCGTGGAATAATAACCAACTTGGTTGGTGTGAAGGCATCAACTCATCAAATCCATGGGTTTTCAGTTCATTTTGGCATCTGATCAGACAGGGAGGTGTCTAATTCATGAAAGAATTCTAGTGAAACCTGACTGATGCATCAGTTTAGTTTCATTTGAGTCCCAAGGAAAGACATATACATCGGATGCATATGCATGACGCCATGAAATGAGTGGTTGAGTACCTCTCATATGCAGTAGTGATGCTTGCCGGTTAGCCAGACCGAAGAGACGATCCAAAACACCGGTGACAGTCTAGTCTGTTTGGCGCCGAGTTCATTAGCGGTATATGCGGTTTGACTCGGCGCATAGAGTGAACCGCGAATTAATGTGCAAATTGCAAAGTCTGTCCTTCGGACAGATATGTTCATTTCTTACTATAGCTTGAAAGTAGTACCTTAGATGTCTATACAGCAAAGTTATAACTGCTTGACAACTATTATCTGATCTATCTGCGATCATCTCACATTCAGTAAACCAATAGTTTGTAAGAAAATTCTCATTCTATTGCTGATATATGGATGACACCTTCATCCTTTGTGAAAATGATTTGGACAGGAGAACAATAATGTCCCAGTTCAATGAAGTACGCTTTCAACCACCAAATTCACGTGTGAAGAAAAATCTCGAAGTAACATCGCCTTTTTAGATGTGCTAATCCCAGGAAGAGCAGACGATATGTAGCATTGAAAAGGAATTTGCACTAGAAAAGTGCTTGGACCATTTTCACAGAACTGTTCCTCTCTGATATAAAGTAAATTTTGTAAAGACCCTCAAATACAATATTAGAGCTATTTGTTCAGAAGATACTTTTGAAGACAAACTTGAGGTTGTCATATGACACATGAATTGAAAACAGTTAACCTGAAAAATTCGTCATCCCAAACACACGATGAAGAGAGTAGCAAAGAATTCTTCTCTATCTGTATCTATTTATACAACTACGATTCAAAGGTGATGTACCGAGTGAAATAATAACCAAAAAGTTTGGAAAAATCGATTCAAAGAACGTTTAATACCGGCAAGCTGCACCTTATATATTTTCCACACAACCGGTTGTGATTACGAAAATGGCAGATAGATGAAGTAGCTAGACTAGCCATGTTTTATTGCATCTGTCAATTCAACAGCTCTTATGGAGCCAGGAACTAAAGGCCTCCAGATATTCAATACTCCAAACGGCAGACAGCAATGAAATTAGTTTAAGTAAACTAGAGCTCTTTTTACAAAAGAAATATGTTCAGCCAGCTACTATTGCTATGCTCCTCTCCTGATGTCCAACCTATAGATTCATCACCTCTGTGTGTTACTTCCCTAAATTTATCTGATACTGAATCAGTTTATGATTGGACAATAGTCAGTAACTAGTGTAATGTGTTTAGTCCCATCTTCGGTGCAGACTAGATTCTATCAGTCCTATAGGAGGTCATTCGCGAGCCCGAATAGCTCAGTGGTAAGGTGTCTGACTGCAGCACTCATTGGGTGACGCGGGTTTGAATCTCAGAAGGAATATGAGTTCCGTCAAGGTTGCAGATTATTATTATTATTATTGTTCCCTTGGGTTCCTAGTGGAACATAGGGCTTCAACTGCACGTCTCCACTTGCTTCTGTCTTCTGCTGTGCTTTTCACCTGCATCCATGTTAGTCCATACTGTTTCAACTCCTCTTCACACGATCTCCTCCATGTCACATTTGGACGTCCCACTCGCCGCTTCCCTTTCGGGTTCCACTCGAGCACTGGCCTGACGCGCGATGTCACCCAGTGGCCTCCTCAGCGAGTGTCCAATCCATCTCCACTTTATCCTGCACACTTGTTGGGCGATTGGTTCTTGTTTTGTTTGTTCCCATAGTTTCTTGTTGGTGATTCTTTCCGGCCATCTAATCTTCAGTATAGAACGAAGACAGTTGTTGATGAAGGTCTGCAACAGGCTGTTGGAAATATTCTTTGTCACTCGCCAAGTTTCTGATCCGTATAGAAGAACTGACTGACTTGACGTTTGTATTGAAAATCCGAATTTTGTTGTTAATGCAGGCTGAGTAACGAAGATTTCCAGATTGGTTTCAGGTTGATGAATGTGTTTCTCGCCTTGCCGATTCTTGATACGCCTTGCTAACTGGTGAGTGCCAACTAGCACGAAACTTAGGTCCAAGGCTTCCTGCTGACTGCCTCCAACCATCTAATACTGAGTCAGTTTAATGTTATATGAATGCATATTATCTCTCCCTCTCTCTCTTACTGATGCTGCTTTAGTGAACTGTAATCACCTATCGATACTATTGATTGCTTCAATGGAATTTAAATCAGCATTAATGCTGTTAGCAACAATATATTTCTTTGATTACTACTGTTATATATAAATGCAGAACCTGATGAAGTGGGATTTATCGAGAAGAATATTTTCTGTTCTCTAATCAGGCTTTTCAATTTTTATCAGGCATCTTCAATAAATGAAAAATATATATGCGTTACTTTACCTCAGTAACATTTCTATTTTGATAAGGTATAGCCGCGCTTACATTCTCTGCGTGTGTGTGTGTGTGTCCGTTTGCTTACCTGACGACATTTCACATACTCTTCACCAGTCTCTTTATTTTCAAAGAATGACACATCAGTATTATGCATATTCCAGGGATGTGAATCTTCACTGCCTTCTGGGCTATTCAACTTATTCAATTGTTCACATTGTTCTGCTGTTATCCTGTTGATTATGGCGTAAATACCAGTAGTGAATTTTTCAAACGATGAAAAATTCAATGAACCAACAACACGTATTGACTTGATCGACGATAGTAGGCAGTCAAATTGTGTTTTGTTAATCTGAGTACTCGTCATCACCTAGACAACAAATAAACAAACAAACAAACTAAGAGTAGCAAAAATAGGCGGGAGGGGAAGAACACGAGGTATTGAAGAGTAAAATAATCAGTGGAAATAGGAATAAACAGTTCAGTGATGATGGGCACTGGGTTCGAGCCTCAGTGGGAACATCATCACTCACTGTGAAATGCAGGTACATCCAGATGACGAGTCCCAAATAGGACGAAATGCGCATCCTGGATTCCACTGCTAGTCACCATACACCAATTAAAGTTCAGTGATGAGACTCGCTTCTTCGCGGTGAATTCACTCAGTTCACTGTACAATCGCATCAACAACAACAATAACAAGCCCTAGTCACTCGTTCACCTGGCTAGGCGGTATCGTTTCAACTACAGGTAGTCGGCGGGCAGAATGAGATTTTCAAAACCAGGAGCTCAAAGACAAAACAGACATTCATCACTCTGAAATCAGTGTGGAAATCCTCTCCATTCTGTGTAAAGAACAAAATTCGGATTTTCAACACCAAACCAGTTCAGTCAGTCAGTCACTGCTTCTACATGGGTCAAAACGTTGGCGCGTGCGTCACTAAAAGCACTTCCGACAGGCTACCGCCTCTGCTGGCTCCATACTGATGATTAGATGGCCAGCCAGAAAAGATGAGCAATAAGCAACCAACAACCTATTACCCAACCAGTAAATATGTCGAAGTGAATGGAAATGGATTCGATGCGAGCTGAAGGGGCTACTGAGTGACATCGTGTGTCAGGTCAGCCCATGCGGGGAACCTGAATGGGAAACGATGATATGGGTGTAGTCAGTCCTAGTGTGATACGGAAGAGATCGTGTGGGGAGGAGATGAAAGCTTATGGGAAGTCGTGGAGCCAGCTAAAAAAAAAGCTGGAAGAGAACGAAGTGAAATGGGGATGTGCTGCTGGTGCCTTATTTGCCAATTGGAATATATATTCTGACCAACACTCTTGGTATCTACATTAGGACTGATATTCTCCCTTCGCACAATGTTCTCTAATAAGTCGGAAGGCGAACTGCAGCACTTGACCACTCTTGTGTGTATGTAACAATTCACTTGGGCCTGTGAATACAGATATATAGTCTGTTCAATGCTTGTTTTATTTAGAAAAAAGTCTAGTTTCCACTTGTCTCATTATTTATACAGTTCTTTAATTAATACCAAAGACATATCATGACTAACATATTAGTGGTTGCAAAGTCATCATTCACAGTACCTACCACACGTAAAGGCATTCATCTTGAAGCTTCCTAGTGAAATAGGAACAGCCTGATGAAAGTTTAAACCTCCCTCCATATCTGAAACGCATTACAGTCATGTCCTAATTCTCGAATAGTCTTTTTAAAATGAGTAATGTAATGTAAAAGAACAATGCTCAGATTTTTATGAACTATCAGTGTGCATACATACACTTTCATCGCATTCTTGTATAATTCTAAATGACCCCTTCATATATTTATCCAAGTTTTATCGAAGTATCCGGCGACAATGGACATAGGTCTCTTCTCTTCGTCTTGTAGGCCAGAACCCAGGCTGTCTACCTGGAGAATACGAATTGTGCCTTGTCTCGGAGTATTGGATAGATGTTTCGTCCTAGTTTGGGACTCCTCAGCATTATGCTCTCAACAGGGTTGCAGCCCAATGCCTTCCTGTCAAAAGGCAAGCTCGTAGACCATTCAATCGCTTGGGTCCATTCTAATGACCCATGAATACCAACTTTCAATGGTTGTCTAAATGCTCGCCACCAAGCCTGTAACAAATCAATTCCCTGCAAACCAAAAACTGATGGTTTATTGAAATATTAGTATTATTATTGATAAAGGTAAGCAAAATAAGGTATGAAATTTTAGCGGCTTTTATGTTAGAGTTCATTATGGTTGTGGTTTCAGACTATTTTAGTCATGTTCTATATTAGACAGAGTATTAACAAATGGATTTATTTTATTTTATTAATTTTTTTTTATGATAGCCTGATTCCACACCGTATTTTTGGTACAAGTATGGAATTTTCAGCATGTGTTATCGGTAACCCAAATTTTGCAGACCGACCGATTGATATCAGGTGTACGTCGGTAGGGGATTGAAATCCGTATCATGTGCATGATCGGCTAGAGTCCTAACCGCTGTGCCAACTTATCGCTCATAATCTATATCAGTGTATTCCCACGACTTGCAAACTTACTTTATGTTATTAGCAGTACTCTGATAGGTTTTTTTCTATAAAATGGAAAGAAGTTCAGAAAAGAGTTACTTTTTTCGACGACATCATTCTCCAGCTGTACAATCGCATGTATATGTAGTAAATTATCTCGACAACAAAAGGAATATTTCCAAAGATGCGTCATTAGAGTTGTAAATTGTTTTAGACAACAAACCACGTAATATGGAAAGCGGCAATCAGTCAGAAACTAAAATTAAAATGAGTGACTTAACATAACTGATGGGATTGAGTAAAAATTCAACTAAAAGTGAACCAGAGTCAAGTTAACAACAATGGTAATGAAGGGTGGGGTAAACCCTGATGATTTTATAAAAGGTAAAGGAGGTCCCGCACCCCTACAGCTCTATCTTGGAACATCTGATTGAATGTGGAAATCAAGTTAACCCACAAAACAACTTTAAAGACATCCTACAGAATAGGCGGGAATCGTGCTAAAAGAGTATGAATTAAACTTCTTCAAACTACAGAAGCAATGGAGATTCACATGTGAAATCCTGAACTCTGCTTACAAAAATAGGGTTTTTTCAGTTATTAAATCTACAATGGATCTGATCTGTCTTAACACTGGATAAGTAATCTTTATGCTTTTTGTTTTTTAATTGTATTATTTTCTTCTCTCACCCCTTATTAAATTTTTACACCTTATTGCCACTGTTGTCAACTTGACTCTCGTTCAGTTTTAGTCGAATTCCACTCTATCCCGCCAAATATTGTTGAGTTACTCAATTTACTTATTTAGTTTTATTTTAGTTTCAACCCCATTAGGGATTTGTTTATAACATGTAATCTGCTGTTTGAAATTCACAGTTTTAATTACAGATCCTTGGGAATGTTTCTTTTATTACTAAGATGATTTACTTTAGACCACAGATTGATACCAGTTAGAGAACCACTGAAAACCAGGGATTACTAGCCCTGGCCTATGAGGATGTATTTCCCAATGATGACGTTAGCCGGTGGTCCTACTAACATCAAAACTTGTTAAAAGTTAGGATTCATGGGCTGGCCATTGAATCGGGTCCCAGTGGCTGAATGGTATACGAGCCAGCTTGCCTTGTAACCCGAAGGTCCCGGATTCCGAACCGAGTGGGTGGGTACTGATGAAGAGTCCCAAACTAGGACGAAACAGTCGCTCAGTACTCCCAGGTTCTCCCAGGTCCGTGGTCTTACCTGAAAAAAAAAATAAAATTCTTATTTATATGATTTAATGGGAATTTTTCAGGTTTTTTTAATACTGCAATTGGCCCGAAAAGCCTACTAGCTTGCGGTCACAGTAATCAAAATTGTCTTAGTGTGGTCGGTAGATTGTTTTAAAATTACCATCTTTTCTCTTTCCAAGTGTACAGTTTATCATGTCAACGCAGCTTGGAATCACGTCAAAACGTCTCAGTCATGGATTACAGAAGGCTGGATACGAGAAATTACATATCACGAATCAATAAAACATAAGCTACTATTAATATGCATCACAGGATTCTTTGCTGATATGAATACGTATATATATTTTTTGCAGCATCACCATTCGTTTAAAAGCCTGAAGAGTTTAACTCACCTCAAAATGCTTGTGGACATAGAGTTCAGTACCAGGGACATTTTGCAGCTCAAGCAATTTTATGCCACGTTGTTTCTCAGACAGTAAAACAAGACAAGCAACTATACCAACCACTAGTCCATAAGTCACATCGAGTATTATAGTGCTAACAAATGTGATCAAAAATAGTGCCTAAAAATTACAAAAAAAAAAAACAAAAAAAACAATAACATAATCAATTGTGTATCTAAGATTGAGGCGTGCAGAAAGACGGAAAACATTTTCTGTGGTGCGAAAAAAAGGAATATTATCAAGTGAATTAGAACTGAACCGAAATCTCCAGACCTTGGCCACCTCTAAATGCATTTATCAATTCATCTGCTCCTGTGGAACCAGCTAGATTGACTGTTTTTCTAGGGACTTTATTTTCTATGCTCAGTAACATCTAACAGGGTGATTAAATAATGATGTCGCTGAAACCATCAACAGTTCTGCTATATTAGATCAACTCGTTCAAAAAGGCCACGAAACTCACTGGCATTGAAGAGTAGTCTCCTCTGTCATCTATCAGGTATTGAATAGATTGCCAAAGGTCTCCAGATACCTAACACTTCAAACGGAGGACGCCATTGAAATTCGTTTAAATCAGTTAGAGCACTGAGTGCAAATGATACAGATCCAGTCAGCCACTACTGCTACCCTCCTGGCCTGCTTTCGAACCTATTAATCCATAAATCTTGTGCTTTGCTTCTCTTAATTTATCTGATCCCATATTCAGTTTATTGTTATATTAATGAATATTATCTCTCCGTCTCTACTGCTGATGCTTCTGGAATGCAATCTGTCAGTGCTATTCTTTAGTCATTAATTACTCTTTTAGATTTAATTGGTTCCAGGTTATATCGCAAAATGACATCACTTAGTTAGAGAAACACTGAAAATCCATGGGTCAACGGACCAAGTCTCAGTCAACGATTGAATGGTCAACGAGATCGCCTTTTGACGTGAAGGTCACAGGTCTGATCTTTGTCGAGGTCATAAATATGCACTACTGAAGAACTCTAAGGCGGGACGAAACACTTGTCGAGTATTCTCTAATTTTCCACAGTTCTCAAACTGCTTTTGGTTGGTGGCTTATTATTATTATTCCCTTGGGTTCCAAGTGGAACATAGGGCCTCAGCAGCACGTCTCCATTTTATCCTGTTCTCTGCAGTCTTCATGAGCCAACTCCACAAATCGACATAAGCTCTAATCTCCTGCTCAAAAGATATCCTCCATGTCATCCTTGATGGGCCAGTTCGTCATTTCCCAATCATTTTCCATTCGAGCGATTGGCTGGCACAAGATTTCATCCTATGGTCTCCTCAGCTTGTTCCCGATCCATCTCCATTTCCTCCGGCATGTCTGATGAGTGATAGGTCCTTGGTTGATGCGCTCCCAGAGTTAATTGTTGCTAATTCTTTCCACTAGCCATCTGATCTTCACTATGGAGCCAGTGAAAACGTGTCCATAAAAATCTTCACCGACTTGTTGGAAATGCTTTTTCTGAATCGCAAGCCAAGTTTCTGACTCATAGAGAAGTAGTGACTGACTTAACTGGCTTCCTGTTAAAATCCAAATTGTGTTCTTACTACTGTGGAATGCAGAAGATTTCCATACTGATTTCAAAGTGATGAAGGTGTTACATACCTTTCGGATTCCTCATACACGCTGTCGCCTGTAGTAGAAACGATCATGTTTTGATAAGTGATGGAAATGACCTCTTTCAAATTCCTTCCGTTGAAAGTGATAGGTGCTTGCTGTTGTTGTGGTTGGTTATTTACCTTCCTCACCTGCGTCTTTATCACCTCTACCACCTATATGTTCACTTGAATTCCTGTCTTCATTTCCTTCCTCATCTACCAGCTTGTTGGTTTTCGCCTGCTAGTCTTCGAATTTTTGTCACATCAGGTATAAATCATCCGCGAAGTCCATATCTTCCACAGTCATCCTGTCGATAATTTAATCGAAGGCATTCAACTGTTAATCTAAGTACACAGAGTAGCGTTTTAGAACAGGCGAGCAGAACTTTCGTGTATTTGCGAGAGTTTATGAAGCTATTATAACCAACTGTAAGAAAAAATTGTCCAGTCGGGATTTCAACACGATTTTTCAGTCAACCAGCACTTCATTATGATTTGGAGACTCCACCCGTCACGAAAGGTATTACCAATAGGTTACAGGATTTTCATAATGAGCTGACATTAGTTAGAGAACCATTGGACAGCTGTTTCGTCCTAGTTTGGGACTCTTCAGCAGTACGCACCACCGGGATTCGAACCCAAGACCTTCTGGTTCTCTAACTAATGTCAGCTCATGATGAAAATCCTGTAACCAATCAAATCCCTACAAACCAACACTTGAATATTACCAATAGGCTTCCGACGTTTATCAATAGTCACCTTCGTTGACTTCATACTGAAGATTCTCGCTGGAAAAGACTTTATAACAAGGAACTCTGGGAGCGAACCAACCAACCAACTATTGCTCATCAAATATGAAGATGAATCGGATACACGCCGACGGGACCGTTGGTTGATATCACGCGTCAGGCGCTTGAGTAGATGGTGAATAAGAGACGGGGTGTTTGGCGTTGGTAGGTGATACGGCGTACGTCATTCGAGGAGGAGATGAAAGCTTTTGGGGAACTGGGGATCCAGTTCACGTGGACTGCAGAGAACATGATGAAAAGTAGATATGCCGCTAAACAATAAAGACTGTTCATATCAGCGTCGCTGTCATTTTTTCGTGCATTTGTGAATTCAGTTAATGAGTCTGAAATGCACCCAAAATTATACGTCTAGCAGTAAATCGAATATTTTTGTTGTATTCACAAGGCCTTATTTGACTGAATAGTTGTCTGTCTCTGTGTTATTGTATGTACTTGCTCACATAGGCATATGTAAATCGCTATACAGAAATAAAAATTCCAATAGATTCTGACAAGCTGATAAGCAAAATACATGCTGCTAATCTCTTCATATACTTCAGAACAGCTTAGTAACAGGGCATTTATAGTCAGCCCTTTCAACACCACCAACAACACATAACATACCCATTCTGCTCTGTATCACTTTCTGTTACCAACTTTGAAAAAATCCTTACAAGAAAACCAGATGGTAGCATAAAAAGAAATTTGTATAGAAAAACTACATGGACAGGACAATATACACATTTTCACAGCTTCGTTCCTCTCAAGTACAAAAGAAATTTAGTGAAGACCCTCAGCCACAGAGTTAAAGCTGTATGCCCAAAAAAAGCAATTGAAGATGAATTAAGAACATTGTATATGATACTTTGATCGAAAATAGCTATCCCGACAAATTTATCAAGAAACACATGACAAAGAAAGCGGAAAAGGACTACTCACTATCCGTAAACAAGAAGTCGCTTTATATACAACTGCAATTCAAGTGAAATAATAACGAAGAAATTAAGAAAATCAGTTCAAACAACTTTTAATGCTGGCGAACTACACGTCTTATTCTCTACACGACCGATGGTGATTCCTCGACAGAAAGATGAAGTACCTAGACTAGCCACTTCAAATTGTATCTACCAATTCAACTGCGTTTGTGGAGCGAGTTATATCGGCAGTTGCTCTAGGAACTTGATTTTTTGTGCTCGCTCGAGAACACCTCCCAGTATGGCTAAGTATAGGCGTAGTGAAAACCATTAACAGTTCGATATTGTACCATTTGGTGCAAACCGGCCACAAAGACAGCATTGAAGAATCCTTCTCTATCATCTACCGGGTACCTAATCAATTGTCAAAATCATCAAAGCACTGCATGCTCCAAACAGCAGAGGCTATTGCAATTCGCATGAAACAACCAGTGCTTTGTATGCAAAAGAAGCAAGTCCTGCCACTACTACTGCCCTGGCCAGATTTTTTTAATATTATCTTTCCTAATTTTTCTGACATTCAGCTTATTTTATGTTGATGCTATTGAGCTGTAATCTATCACTATTATTGATTCGATGTTATTTAAACATTAATGTTGTTCATAACACTAATTCATTCATTCACTTTAATGTATATATAACTGTAGAGCCTGATGATGAAGTTATCAGAAAGAGTATTCTTTGTTCAGTATCCATTTTTTTAAAAATTTTAATGGGCATTTTTAATCAGTTTGAAAAAATCATCTAAAAATTAATCATTCAGTTCATTGGAATTTCATGTGCAAGGTAATGAGCCAGCCTAACCTTGACCTAGTGATACAGCATGATTGCTGTTGTTGTTGTTTTTTGAGAATAGCAGGTATCACAAAGTGTCTGAACATGATCAATAGATGCAAATGTATATGAATATATGTGAAAGAGAACCAAAATCAGTTAGAGAGATCATTGAAAAGCAACAGGAAGCACTTGATGGCTGTTTCATCCCATTGTTGGACTCTTCTACAGTGTACACTCGGGGATCGAACCCACGTTGAGAGACTAGGCCCGTTGATTATTCAGCCACTTGGGTCGGATCTCACTGACCGGTGAATTCTAGCTTTTTCAATTCATGATATAGCTTTACCCTTAACTAATGCCTTCGATGACCCTGTACTGGCCACGACTTCAGGAGGTGACAGCCATTCTAGGCTGTGTTTAGTGATGATGCATAGTGTTGCAATTTGTTTTCACTGAATCAAACATATTCCGCGCGAAGTCTCAAATTTAGGGCATCTCTCAGTCTTTCGGGAATGATTCAACAAATACCCTGCTTGGAGTGAACAGCGGCACAATCTCCCACCCGTTCTGCGACAGGTTTATGTCTCCCCTCTCTAACAGTTTCACAAGCTAGCCTTTTTTCCACACCTTCTGAAGAAGTAGAGTGAGTATGTCTGCTGAGTCCTTTGGTACGTTCTCAGAGCTTTAGGGGGAATTACATATGGTATTACTCCTTTCTCTGTTGGCTTTTATTAATTTTTTTGGTATTCACTGGTAGTTTTGTGACTGCTGGTGATAGTATTTCTGGAGAAGTTGCAGGTGGTCGTCTATTCAAGAGTCTTTCAGAGTCATTGCTTCAAGGTTGCCATTGTTCCTCCTCTTTTGCAATTAGGTTTCCTTCACTATCTTTCATTGAATTCACCAGGGTAGCTCTTTTCATGAATAGCAAACAGGGTTAGTTGATGTATTGTTGCGAGGTCTGTCTCGCCTGCAGTCTGTTCTGCTTCAGTCCCTAGTGTGTCGTAAAACTGTGTTTTATTCCCCCTAGCAGTCTTCTTCACTTTGTTCAGTACTTTGTAGGTTGTACTCAGCTTTCCTTTATCGTCGTTAATTTCTGCAATGGTTCTACTTATGCTTCACCATCCTTCTCTATTGTTTCAACTTCCGGGTGTCGACAGAGATCAGTTCCTTTTCTTGGCCAGTACAGCTTCAGGAATCCGTCCAGGGAGTCATGAGTGCACACTGTTGATGAGTTCCAGACTAGGGTGAAACAGCTGTCCAGTGGTCCTTGGTAACTTAACAATGATCTCTCTAACTGATGTTGGTCGCATGATGAAACTTTACACGCGAAACAAATTTCACATGAATTTAACTCTGTATGCGTGTGTGTGTGTTTGTGTGGGTTGAGCTTACAAAGTCTGGCTTGTAGGTACGCCATAAATGGGGCAGTCTCTTCGGTTGTATGAGGATATTTCTCAGCGCCACAACAATTATTGACGATAGAATACACTGGAATAAAAAAAAAAAAAAACATTATTACAGTTAACAGGAAAATCAAATTCTCATATTCGCTGAATTGAACGGATATATTTTATAGAAGATGAATAGTTGTCTTAAAGGACAACGATGCACACAGAGATGTTTTAATACAATCTTCCTGTTTTGCTATCCACCTACTCTCCTCGATGTTCACAAGTGATATTTACTGGAGACAGATAAGACAGAAAACGAAATACAGACTTTTAAACGGGACAGTTTAATATTTGAATAAAGCAAAAACAACAGTTTGTGCAGAATAAGATGCCACCATAATCTCTATTTCGTCGGCCTATTATCAGCTGCGTACAGCCTAAAGAGATTATTAATTTTATGTACAGAACAATGCTAACATACTTGCGAGTGTTACATAATATTAGTTGACAGTGCTCATGTAGCTTTTACCCAGAGAGTTCAAGTTTAAACAAAAATCAGTGTATCCATACGACAGTAAAAGAGTTACATAATAGAGACAAGAGGTAAATAAGATGATCAGTAACTGGTGCACTGAGTAAAACTGTGATGAGTTCATTTCAGACCGATGAAACAAGAGACAAGCAAAGTTACAGTACAGTGAGGAGGGAAGAGGTTGAAGTAAAAGACTATAAACTCAAATAAATGAGAGCGAGTGAAGACATCCAGTTGTCAGGGCAAGACAAAGCTGACGATAACTGCTTCTTTCTGAACACACATATCCGGTTTCAGGCGTTTAATAGCGATTGCTTCGGCGAACTTGATGACTGGTATCAAGCAGATGCCTGGTAATGGCATTACTGAAACCTTCTGTTGCCTTGAGATGTAGACTTTTTGGTACATATTCAGAAAATCGGAGGTGTGTCCTTCTTTCTATTCTCCCAATGCAACAACTTCCGCAGATACATGTAAATTTGTATAATACACAGTTAGAGTTAACATGAGAAGGAGATCTGTCGACTTTTGATTGCACCAAAGAGCAAGTCGTTCGAAAGGCGGGAACCAACTTAGCTACAGGATATGCTTTGGCTAGTAGAGTATTCAGCCTTCTGTTGACTACTCACCTTCAAAATCCAGTTGAATAGAGAGAGACATTTTACCACCGTGATTTGTTTGACTAAGTTTCATGTCAACGAACATTGAAAGCAATATTTTAGTGAAAAAGCTTGGTGCCTCTGATACATCTAAACACACTTACTCTTTCCAACTGTGTTTTGAGGATAAATGGAGATGTATTTTGGAACTATGAATAATTCTCGAGGAGCTGATAAACAAAAAATGAAAAGAGTTCAGATTCAAAGGTACAAAATAACAGCCATAACTATTTCTCTTAAAGTCGGATATTAACAAAGTCGCTTGTTGCTCAAAACTCTCACATAAATATAAATAAAGATAACTAATCCCTGGATGCATTGTTCAGTGCTTCGGTGGTTCAGTGGTAGGACACTGGCCAACCAGGCAGGTGGTCCGGGGTTCGACCCCCCCCCTCCTCCACGAACTCACTCCTCCACCTCACTTAGCCGGTAATAAGACAGGTTAAAAGGGAAGGTTGGGCGTGAGGCTAGGCACCCCATCCAGACAAAAATAAACGCCACTGCTACTGGCACTTCAAAAGCTCAACATTGAAACCCTACGTTCCATGCAAAGAAATAAAATAAATAATATACAACTGACTGATATGAATAATTTGAAACCGTTCATATCAACAATAGAAAAATAGTATCCCTCAAGTGGTGTTTTTAATGAAAAGCTGATTAGGGGGTGTATTAAACAGCAAACAACAATGTCGTATTAATGTATTACTTATCATTGTATTACTATTCCCTTAGGTTCCGAGTCGAATACAGGGGAGCTTCATCGTGTACACAGCCGTCGTTTCTAGTTGGCTCAACCATTACCCAGAGATTCTCATCTCTTCGTCACAGGATGTCCTCCATTTCACTCTCGCTTTGACTACTTCCAACTTGTCGTTTCCAATTCACCTTCCACTCTAGGGCTGTGATGTAACTCAGTGATCTCCTCAGCGTGAGTTCGACCCATCCTGATTTCCTTCGGCACATTTTTTCGGCAGTAGGTTGTTGGTGGACTTCAAGCCTCTTTCCTTGATGCTGATCTTTGCGGATAGGCAATCTGATCTTCAGTATGGATCCCATGAAGTTAGCTAGTGATGGATTTCTGTAGTAGCCTGTTGAAAATGCTTTTTGTGATGCACCAAGTTCCCGGTTCATATGGAAGAATCGTCCTAACACTGGTGTTGGAAGTCCAATTTTTGTTTGTTCTGCTAAGTGTGGCGAATTTCCTAAATGATTTCAGAGTGATGAAAGTCTGCCTTCCGATTCTGGTTTTTGACAACCTCAACCATTCCGACTGTCTCTGGTTGAAACGATGCCGTCTAGATAAGTGGAGGAATTGACGCCATTCAAATTTCTCCTAGTGATAGTGATTGGTTACCTTCATAACCTTCATCTTCTCTGTGATGTCCTGTCTTTGTTGCTTCTTCTGTCAGCTTGTCGGTGTTTGCTTGCAGGTCTTCAAGTTTTTGCGAGATTAAGCATAAATCATCCGCGAAATCCAGATCTTCTAGAGTCTTCTTATCGGCCCAATGTACTCCTGTCTTCTCGCTCCTCACAATCTGATGCATAATCTACTCCACCATAATTAGGAATATCTTTTTTGGTGATAGTCAGCAGTCTTGTCTACTTCCTGTCTTCATTTCAAACGCTTTACTGAGTTCTCCGTTGTGGATCACTTGACATATGGCATCGTCGTATAGCTGTTGAATGAGTTGAAATAGTTTCTAAATTACTTCGCCACCGAAGCTGTCTAAGCCAATGATTTTGAGGTGGAGATTTAACCGACATTCTGTGATCTGTTCAATGATGCTTCGTACCGTTGCAATTCGATCCGTAGACTATCTGCTGACCATCAATCCAGCTTGTATGGGTGGAGTTCTGCATCCAGTGCATCTTTTATTCTCTTTAGAATGATGCGATTTAGTAACTTGCTTGGCATGGAGAACAGCATGATTCCACGTCAGTTTTGCAAAGGCCTGAATCACACCTTCTTTGGTAGTTTGACAAGGTAGCCTTTCACCAATCAGTAAGTACATTTCATTCCCTCCAAATCTTTTACAATAGTGATGGCGTCAGCATTTGCGCTGCAGTCTCTGGATCAGTTTTCAGTGCTTCCGCAGGAATTCCGTCCGGTCTTGCTGCTTTCCCAGCTAGCTTTCACTAGCTTGTTTGCATTCAAGACTTCTGCTTCTGTTGAGGAATCGGTGTCCACTGGCATTTGTGTGGCTCTTGCTGGTATTTCACAGACTAAATGTGGTATTTTGAACCGAGTTAAGTGGTTCCTAAACACTGCAATTGTCAACGATATACTGTGTTTAATTTTTTTCTTTCATTTAGCGCCGCTGTGCCATAAGGTTCACTATGTATTCAAAGATATTCAAGTACTGGTTTGTAGGGGTTTGATCGATTGGGTACAGGATTTCATCATGAGCTGACACAGGTTAGAGAACCATTGGAAAAACTGGGAGAACTGAACCATAGTTTCGTCCCAGTTTGGGACTCTTCATCAGTACGCACCCACTTCTAGGTTCCGAACACACGACCTTCCGATAAAAATGAGAACTCTTAGACCATTAAGCCACTGGGACCCAATCCAATGGCGCATGCATTCCAGCTTCTGCCAAATCACGATATAGCGTGACCATTAGTCAATGTCATAGCTGGAGAGTATTTGTCCTCGCACCCAACCTACTTCACCCTACTGGTCACAACCTGGGTCGGGTCACAATGGCTTAATGATCTACGAGCTTGACTTGTAACCAGAAAGTTCGGGGTTCGAATCCTCGCGTTGTGTGCCCACTGCTGACGAGTCCTAAACTAGGACGAAACAGCCTCCCAGAACTCCCATTTTTTCCCATGGTTCTCTAACCGACGTCAGCTCATGATCAAATCCTATAACCAGTGTATTCAAAGCATTAAATGGCACATGAAACTGTATGATCAATTATGATATTAGAGTGTACCATACTGTCCGCATAATCCATTCTCTAGCTTTCTCAGTAAGTGTGTGTGTTTACATTGTGTGCCATTTTACCATTTTTATGACTGTCTTTTTTAACGCTAACTAGATTTATGGATGAAATGATTAGCTATACAGACTGACACACTTAACACATCATCATACACATTAGTTTACTGCCTAGCAGGTGACAAGTACAAAACACGAAATAGAGATGACCACCTACTAATCTCTAAACACTTTGTAAGAAAACATGACCCTACTGGGAATGGAATCCAGGCGACTCTCGTTACAAGGAAAGCCTGTTGGCCATCCAACTATTGGGAGGAAATCCAACGGCCTATGAATTCTAACTTTTGCAAATCAACACTTACAAACTAATCCAATGCTTACTAGTAACTGACTGTAGAAAGAAGTCTCCTGGAGTTCTAATAAGAAGTCCTGACCAGTAGGGTATACCAAGTCGATGGCATTAGCTAACGCTGGTGCTATGAATACCGCGAATGAGTAGAAGTTAAAATTCATGGCCCGAATGTTCGACGGACTCACCACGTATGCTCAGCTTCCTACTTTCGATCCTCAACGAGTACTACTAAAGAGTCCTGAACTAGGACCAAATAGTTGTCCACTACTGGTCATAGTTATTTAGAGAGTTATGGTAGCAAGAAAGAAAGAAGATCAGGGAGTGGTTAAAGTGAACTGTGGTGTCAATTCACTCTTCAAGGAATTATTTAACTGACATTCTAGCTACTAGCTTTCTCTTAGAATGATACTCCATCTTCCTAGACACACGTAGCTAACATCCTCCCTACATTTACAATTAAAAGCGTTCTCTGAGCTGGTTGGTTTAATCGCGAAGCTTTCGTCCTCCCTACATATATATATATATATATATCGAAATATTACGCTTTATGATAGAATTAAGACATTTTTTATAATTTTTTGAACTCACCGATGGAGTAGCCTGAAAATACGGTCCAAGAAACAGTAGTACAAATACAATCATAGCTGAACTGAATATGCCTGATAACTAAAATGTGAGAGAGAGAGAGAGGGAGGAGAGAATGATCACTGTTTTTTATCAGTACAAATAATAAGTGTGTTTTTTAGGTGTTAAGGCCTCTTACTTTTTAACTCCATAGGATTTTGCACCACAATAACGAGAACATATTTCACTTTCTTCTTTGATGGCGTTTTATCCTATGAATGCCTATCATTAAGTAGAAGGACTTGTTTATCCTTCTCAGAGTGTTGTCGTCCAGATTTTCCCTGTCTTGAGTTCAGCTATGTAATAGCTCTTCGTCAAGGGTCAGGTGCCTTAAATGGCGCCTACAGCTTGTGTAAAAACCCTAAGAAAACTCAGTCCAGTTGTTCAGGGGTGTTTTGTTCCTTGATTCACACTATTAACTTTATTTAATACACTTCATCAAATACCTAACTTGCTGTGAATTTCTACACCATCTGGTAACATTTATCAAATCAGCCGGCGAGGAAGTTATCGGCTTTGAGCATATTCGTATTTTTGGTGTAAGACTAGATAGTAGTAGTAGTAGTATCAGATAACCACCGATATGTCATACGGCTCCTATTCCATGTCAGGGTCAAGTGAATTCTTGCATTCAGAGCATTCCGCTGGTTAATTTCATCCAGCGCTTAATATTAAATTGGAATGCATAATGGCATTCCTCAGTACTGCATGCTTCGGCTTATTGATCATTTTTGATCATCAGATTCTGGTCAATACACTTAGGACTGGTTTTAACTCAACCTTGAACCTTCTTTCAAAAGTTTTAATGAGCCTAAATAGTTTGTATATAAACATGGCAGATGTGCTTTAGATGCTGCTGCAGCTGTTTTACATTATAATATTGTTTCCTGTTTAGATAAAGCAGCTAAATATATTCGACCTACCTTCCTTGACTGAACATCCTCTATTAACTCTGTGCCCAGATGTCGTTTGCTGAACAAGCTTTCCTTCACACAAATCGTGTACTGCGTTGTTAACTAATTGTATTCTTATTAATCTGAAAGAATGCAGTACCCTCTATAAAAAGTCAAGTCTTCCTATGCCTTGCTTAATGAAGCTGGAGTCCCTTAAGGGACTGTTCTCTCTCCTCGTCTTTTTTCTTTCTTCTTACATGACTTGCCTCTTTTGGGAGATGTCAACTTCGTGGAATACACTGTCTCGTTGCCAGTTACGTCACCATCTGACTGTTCCAAACTGAATAGCTTTTTGTCAGACACCAGCCAGCCAGTGGTCCAAGCTAAATGGTCTTACGTTAAATCCCTCCACATGTCAGACAGTCAACTTCACCTTCAGGCATAAACGTGATCTACACCAGCTTGTTCGTTCATAAGATGCTTGTAGTGTAGAGAGGGCAGTAAAATAAAAACGAATTCAAGCATAGAATACCTTGGAATAGTTCTTCCCTCTGACTTTTCTTGGTTATCTCATATCCTGTCGATCTCTGAGAAAATGTTCCGTCTAACCTTGTACATTAAGAAGTTAACGCAGACAGGTATCACTCAACCCCTACTTTTACCACTTTATAGCTCTTGCATCCTACCTTTTCTTTTTACTGACCCCCACCCTTTGTCTTTCTTGGACTATAGTACTGTGACGGATACTAAAGGTCGTCAGCAGGGCAAGTGGTCTGCCCCCACTAAGTCAGCTTATTACTACTGTTCTCAACAGATATATGAACAACTCATGTGAGAAATGATGTAAATCCATATTGTCTGACTCTCTTCACCCCTTGTATTCATAGCTCTCCCCGCCCCTTACCTCTCATCAGGCAGGACTAGAATTCATCATAAAAGAGTATATGGTTGCTCGTACAACAAAGTACAGAACTTCATCGACATTCTATTCGCGTTAAGCTTGAGACTTATAGCTTACTATGTAATTAGCAAAATAAGTGGCTCATTGATCTCTTCTACTGTTTTTAATTTATGGTGCCACTATTTCAATAATCTTACAATTTTAGATGTTTATATCATTATTATTATCATCATCATTATTTATATTTTTTGTACAACTTTTGACTTTGTTGTTACTGCTAATGACAAAAAGGTTGCCATTATCAATTTTGGTTACCTATACCCTGTTATATATATATTTCGCCTTTGATGTTGCTGGTGTTGAGTAAATTAGATGCACTAATATGCCAAATGCCGAGAATCCCACACTGTATAATAAGTAGTGTTTTGGAATAAAGCAGATTATTATTATTATTATTTCACTTGTTGTGTAACCAAGTGGTTAGAACAATATTTGTTCAAAGTAGCAATTATGCCAGTGCTTATCAAGGCCTTAAAGAAACAGATCAACAACCACAGTAGATGTCTTTCTCAGTCAAGTTATGCACCTTTCCTTTCAACCCACAAAAACCGCACAGAAAGTATGTGAAAGTTATACAGATTAATTTACTCACTGGAGTTCGTGTTTTTGTCCCTTCTAATACCATACTTCGAGAAAGACTACCCGAATGGACAGAACAAGAGAAGAATGATGTAATCGTGTTCACAATGCCAAATGAAACTATCTCCTAAGAACAAAATAAAAATAGATAAATTTTAAGAGAAAGAAGAGATTAAAGAAACTTCATTTTTATATATACTGATTACTGCATTTAGCACTGTGAGACTTTATCAAAAATAAATTTTTGCCATAACTGAATTATACTCCACCACAGTGTTCAGGTTCTATTCTTATATTCAGTAATTAGCCTCTCTCTCCATCCATATCACCTTTTAGATTTTTAATTCTGTCCCACGCTATTGTATGGGTGTGTTAGTACATGTAGTACAATCGCTGAGTTTTTGTGTAAATTACTTATCTTTGTGAGGTCAGTCATTCCGCGCTTAGCTAAATTCTTACTTTCTTACAATTTGAACACCCACGATCTACTGGTTTCACTGACCTATGCAGAGCTGACTTAATTCGCAATCATTACAAGGTATTTTGTAAATTATATTTTGTCTAATTGCGTCAATGGCGTCGATGCGATGTCCATTATCAATCAAGTGTGACAGGTTCGAGCTTTTATGCACCCCCCCTTGCTGAACCCAGCTGGTGAATGTTCTCGAACCCATATACGAACCTGCCAACACAGATTTCAGGGTTATATACCGAATTCCGAAGTCGTTTTCACGTACAGTTCACTTACGTCTCCTACATATAGCTGAAGCTGTTGCAATAAGATCAACTAGACGGGAGCTTTGTATCCAAAAAGAACACTTCCAGACGCTGTTCGTACAGTGGCCAAACTTGGATTAATGATTCTTCTTCTCACCAAGAGTGCCTCTTCCCCATAACCCTCTTGGTTATTTTTTTGTTAATTTTTTTGCTTATTATTACAATTATCATTATTCATCATAATTTATACACTTCATTCAAATATTCTCTAAGTACTATCGAATTTTCCATTTATACTGTCGGGACTTACTATTAGTGATATTACCCCTGCTCTCAATATATGCCTCCACCTGTTTCATTTCACATATTCGTTATTTCATTATTGCAGTCTTACCATCTCCTGTTTAACCCAGACCACTTTGTACTAGCCACTCACCTGACACCTTATATAACCTAAAACTGACTTGTCAGTTTTCCTGCCCCACACTCTACAAATCTATTATGACTGATCACCACCATTGTCTCCTATTTCACAATATTTTGTAATCGATTTCAGCCATGTACGTTTGTCACGCAAATACGACTATTTATTTTGACACCCCATAACTAATCTGTTATTCTACGTTAAGAATGTATCTGCTGGCCTAACTGGCCATTATTGTAACGACAACAAATATTAATGTATTTTATATTTGTAAGAACCTGAAGAGAAATTATTGAAAGGAATATTCTTCGTTCAGACTGACTTTCAATATAAGTTGGAGTTATTGTGGCAGAATGTGAATACAATTAGAAGCAGCTATATGTGATAACAATGTTGAAATACAAAGGAATTTTGTAAAATACACAACTAATTAAATTTTATATATATATATATATAAACCGTATATGACTGAATAACAAGAGATAATTTGAACACTCTTCATCGAGACGAATACTGAACAATGATTTTCGATTCGCACATATCCTAAGGAAACTAACAGTATATCAGGTAAAACAATGACGAAATAATAAGAAGAAGACGTAATTTGTCTGAATGGTGTGTAATGTATTTGCGCAACACATTTCGAACAATCTTATCACACACGGACTTGTCATAGGAATATATGTGAAATTACTAAAGAGCTAAGAGGTGAGAAAATTGACTTACGTTAAGTTAAAAGGCCATATTGAAGGACAAAATAACAATGGAGACCACTAAACCAAATAACAGAGGTAATAGTACATCTACCCTGGCTAGTATCATAACAAAGTTTACCAGGGAAGGTTTAGTGTGGTGATGAATTGTTCCTTTGAGTGCATAAAGGTGGTTTATACTTTCTAATTCCACACTAGGGTTTCCACAAACTTTAGGATACGCCCTCGCCCAATCACGTTTTATAGATAGGTTTAAAAAAATGGGTTAACGTCAATTTTATGCCCTGTCTATATAATGTTTCTCAATATCGGAGCTAGATCTCCTGTTCTCACCATTAATGGGTTCTGAAGATTCTATTTGTTTCTGGAGCCATTCAGGAATATGCTGTAAAACCCTTACTTGTAGAGATGGATGAATCCTCTCTATGTATGTGTCCACACGTACATTCAAATTGGTAAATACAGTGGGATAAGACGTCATTTTTCGCATGTTCGAAGGGCTTAGATAGATATATTGGCTTTACATTCTCTATTATTATGATATTGGCTGCATAAAAAGTCTTTTTGACAGCAGCGTTCAGTCTTTGTCTAGTTATCAAGCTGCTTTGATGCCTTATACAGGGTAGCTTGATGTACACGTCTTTCTTAAGGATGAGTTGTAGAGTGGGTCTTGGTGTTCTGACTACTTTATATCTCTTGATGAACTTGTCTGGATAATTGCTATCAACCAGAGTTTGTGTCAACTTTCTTTCTTCCTCATCAAGTATGTCTTCAACGCATATTCGCTGGATTCTACAGAAGAGACACCTTACTAAGTCTCTTTTATTCCGAACAGGGCAGAAACTAAGATAATTAAGATACTGTCCTGTCCGGGTAGGTTTTCTATAAATAGATATTTTTATTAACCCATCAAGTCGTGGACTAAGCAATATGTCTAGGAAAGATAGACAATTATCTTCCTCTTCTACAGACAGATTGAAGTGATATTCTATTCTGAACTTCAGTCATTCGATTTAAGATTGAGGTGGCAGAACATGGATGTCCCACCAACGACATTGGTTGGAGTCGCGCTAAACCACGAATTGGTAGAAGTTAGAATTCATGAGCCATTGGATCGAGTCCCAGTGGCTAAATGGTATACGAGCTTGCTGGCCTTGTAACCGGAAGGTCCTAGGTTTGAACCCCAGTGGGTGCGTACTGCCGATGATTCCCAATAAACTAGGATGAAGCAGCAGCTGTCCAGTACTCTCTGGTTTTCAATGATTCTCTAACTGATAACAATCCGTGATCAACTCGTAAAAACATAAGTAACCCTTATAAACCAAACTACAGAAAAATTGATATATCAATATTTAGTACTTTGACGAATATTCACTCATTCATTTAACAGTGACGTTAACAGATTATCACTCATCCATCTCTTAAAGGTCACATCTACTTGTTGAAATTGATCCTTATTTGTTGTTGTTGTCATGTTTGTGTTTGTACGTATGTTAACCTTAGTAGGACATTGTATAAGTGACACCGTTTGGAGTTTCGGTAACAGCAGCGTTTATTTTTACGAGATGGCGTGGCTAGCCTTATGCCCAACCTTCCCTCTTTATCGGTCTTATTACCGGGGATCGAACCTCGGAATACCTGCGTGGTCGGCAAGTATTCTGTCGCTCACTCACTCAGTCACTTCGTGTGTTTTCCGTGACAACTACTTTTAAACAGCCTACTGTGTAACATTGTTGAATCTTCAAGTTATCCTCTGTCAAAGGTAGTTCCCCTTAATCAAAGAGATAATAGTAAGCTGGTACAAATGCTAAAAATGTAGATTCATTCAACTAAAGTAGTAGAGTTGAAATCTGTTCAAGTTAATCTGAACTGCTCCTGTGGAGCTAGGTACGTAGGTCATTCTATGCGCGCATCCTTTCACAACGTGTTAGAGAACAATACCCAGCATGGCTGCGAAGAGGCAGTACTGGCTGTCAACACTAGTCACAGTATCTCAGAATTCCTTTACAAAGTGAGCAGATGTGTTTTCGACTTCTTTCTACTGTAGAAGCAGTAGTCATAGGCATAGGAAAAGCGGGAGCCATGTGTTTAAAGGAAACTAGTGGATCTTGTTCGGTTTAACTCCTTAGTTGTTTTTTCTCATTCCTATCATTTTGTTTTCCTTTTCAGTCATAAAAAGCTTATTTCAATTAGTCCAAAATTAGCAACAGAAACTATGCGACAATTACTCTACAGTGATGAAAACATAAAAACGCAATTATCAACTTGGACAGAACTCATAAAATTATTCCTTACAACATACTTCTAATTCAATACCCAAATATATGAACAAATAAAAGGAACACCAATGGGATGGCCCATATCAGGATTAATAGCTGAAGCCGTTATGCAAAGATTATAATTAATAGCTCTACCTATAATTAAACCGAAAATCTGGACAGGTACGTTACGTTGATGATACATTTGTAATAATTAAGAGAAATGATTTAGAATATATCCATAAATTATTAAACAACATATTTGAAGACATCAAATTCACAAGAGAACAAAATCCCATTTTTAGATGTCTTAATCAGGAAAACAAACACAGAAAATTTAGAAACACCAGTATATAGAAAATCAACGCACACAGATCAAATACTCATCTATACTAGCAATAATCCAATTACTCACAAACGAAACTGTGTTTTTTTGATTGCACACTAGTCAGTCACTAGTATAATGCGTCTAGTCCTATCTTCGGTGCAGACTGAATTCTATCAGTCATGTTTGCAATGTGGCCACCATGCTAGGTGGCTCACCATTACGGTGCACTGTGAATTGTTGGTATTAGATGGTTGGAGGCAATCGGCAGGAAGCCTTGGACCTAGGTTTCGTGCTAGTTGGCACTCATCAGCAAGGCGTATCTGCAACCTTGAAGGAACTGATGTCCCTTCTGACTGACATGACTGATAGAATTCAGTCTGCACCGAAGATAGGACTAGACGCATTATACTAGTGACTGACTAGTGTGCAATCAAAAATATCCAATACAGTCCTACAGGAGGTCAGTCGCGAGCCTGAATAGCTCAGTGGTAACGTGTCTGACTGCAGCACTGGGTGACGCGGGTTCGAATCTCAGAAGGGACATCAGTTCCTTCAAGGTTGCAGATACGCCTTGCTGATGAGTGCCAACTAGCACGAAACCTAGGTCCAAGGCTTCCTGCCGATTGCCTCCAACCATCTAATACAAACGAAACTGTGGGCAGACATTGTTTAAAAGAGTTCAAACAC